GCTGAAAGGTTTGACTTATAGGTGAAGCAATTTGCGCAAGTGGCAAAAGTCTTATGCAAATGAGTGGGAAGTACGCCACTAGGAAACTAATATCCAAATGCGTGGGGACATTACTAGGAAACTAAAAATAAAAAATAAAATAAAAAGAATATTAGGGTGAAAGACGTACAGATACTGGCTTAAGCATAATGCTAGTTGACAATGATTGTTTCCAAAGTTAAAATAGGAATTAATATTATAAGAGATAATTTTGTCTTATAAATACACATAAAAGCAAGTGAAACTCATATTTTTTTCTTTTCTTTTCACACAACCCTACATGGACTCTTACATTTTTATATCTGTATAAGATAAAATTATCTCCTAAAATATAAGAAATATTAATTCTGTTAAAATAATAGGAAGAATAACATGGAATATTGATGTCATTCTATGCCAAACTTGGGGCTTAAACCAAAGCGAAATTGTAGTAAGAATAAAACTATTTAGACTAGTTCAAAGTTACATATTGGGTTTGGGTTGATCTTCCTAAATACAGTTTGGGCTTGACTCGTGTAAGAACAACAATGACTCATTGATTTTGATTGGATTCAGTGCATGGATTTCCGCAAATTATAAAATCCTTCCTCATTTCAGTTCATTTGTTTGGTAGGGTAAATTTTTTTTCGAAAAAATTAGATTAATTTAATTGATTCTATGTTTAGTTGATAATAAAAAATGGCTGAAAATTTGGACTGAAATTATAAAATTGCCCATCTCATAAGAAAGAAAAACTGATAACCTAAGTCGAAGGCAGTTTCATCTCATAAAATTGTTTCTCCTTTCCCATGAGGTGGGGAAAAATAAATATCATGGGGGAAATGGTATTTAAGTTTGGGAATTTGTAGTTATAACTCAAATGATGGGGAAAAAAATAAAACCAGGAATATTTTCTTTTACTCATACGCCAGAAAGTTTTGTTCCTCATCCCACTTTCCCAGGATTTCCCCCAAAATCTTTAAACCAACTAGCCCCTTAGGTGGTATTTGGTAGAAGAGAAATTTTTATTTATCCAGGAACAATAGATTACTGAAATATAGTGAAAAATATATTTTTCTGAAATGTTAATTGAAAGCTGTTTGGTATGACCAAATTTTCCAAGAATTTTGTGATTTATTTTACTGAGTGTGTGTTTGGTTGATTATGAAATATTAATAGGAATATAATGTTATTTTACAAAAATAACACCAATTTTATTTTTTAATATCATATTAACGTTAAATGTAAGAAAATATCTCTGCACATAGTTGAACATAGTTGTTTACAACAAAACAAAACAAAAAGACTTTTTTAGGACTTCCAGACTTTAGCCAATATGTCAATATTCTTCATCGTATATCTTCTGATGTGTAAACAGAGCTTTCACAGATATCGTCCACAAAATAAGGTTAGTTTCGTCCACATATTCAAGCCTTAATTTTGACTTCTCCAGGCACAAAAGTTTTCCATCTAATCCATGGAATTTTTTTGCTGAGCACCGTACACAACTTAACACACAACACCAATTTCTGGTATAAAATATTTGTCTGAAAAGTTTTTCATTTTTTTGCACCAAACATGAGATCATTATTTCTCCAAAGATGGTTTTTCGGAAAATGTAAAATATATCTGGTATCAAACGGGCCCTTAGTGCTTTCCTTAACCTCCATGGCTGTGAAAATGGCAGGGCCAATTGAACTGGAATTTGGGCCATCTCAGGTTTTATATCCAGTTTATTCAAACTATTAAACACTTAACAATTTAAGTTTTTGGATTCAAGATATGCTTTATCAAACAATCTAAGTTGCATAACATGGTATCAGAATATGTGTTCTAGAGTTCAATCCATCCCTGATTCTTTTAATAAATATATAAATAATTGTGAAATTTACGTTGGAGAAGTTGTAAAATTTACATTAATACTTTGGATGTGTATAATATAGATTCGAGAAGTTTCTTTTCTTGTTCGACTTTTAACTGGTTATGGGATTAAAGTCACATGCCGATAATTATATTCATAACAGGTAACAGGTTTGGTGAGGCTGACATATTTGAACACAAGCTTAACCTTTTAAGACCAAAGCTCGGCTCGGTTCGACCTATTAATATCCCCACTAAAAAGTAATTAGAATATAGTAAGGGTAAGAGAAGGAAGAGAGAGAAAATTAGTACAAAATGAAATAATGACAATTTTCCATTGTGTTGTGTTGTTTGCATACAAGATTTGTCCATGATATCTATTCATAAACCCTCTACTATAATAAGTTACAATAGAATAAATGACAAAATTGAATCCTCTTAGTTACATATTATTAACTTGTAGGAGTTATAAAAGTTACACGTTATTTTTTTGGAAATTATGGACATCCACAATAATATTATTTATATCAATGAATAATATATATAGATTGGTTAGTGGATAAGTAACTTGTTTTCAAAATTAACCTGTTATCAAAAGCTTAGAAGCAGCTAACTAATTTATACACTTCGTTGATCAATAATTGAGTCATAAATTGATGTAAAAGTAGTGTAAAATGTTGGTATGCAAATAAAACTGCTCTTGAACTATGTGAAGAATTTGTCTGTTTGCTTGTTCATATTTTGGAATCACGTCTATTTGGTAATTAGTCCATTTGGTAATGAGTGATTGCTCAACAAATCAAATAATGTCAACTAATTAATGTTATGCTTGGATTGCCATTTGGGACCTTCCAATTTACGTTTTGGAGCTTGAAATGTGAATTTTCTATTAAAATAAATTGTGTTTGATTGTTTTTAACCAAAAGTGATTTTGCTTTTAACCGTATGTTACACTAAAACAAAACAAAATAACTAATGTGTTGGATTGATAATTTTAGATTATATTTTACTACAAATTTATTTTGAGATAAAAGTTTCAAACAAAAATTACTTCACTTTAAATCTACTTTAACCAAAATTAATCTTGCAAAATAAAATTCATCCAAAATTTTAATTTGTAAATATTTATCCGAACAGTCACTAAAAAGTTTAAGTTTTTTAGTTTTTTTTTTCTTCTAGTGAACTTTCGTTAATAAGTCACGGCGGAAGCTTATAATTTGATCTCTGACTTGTGAGAGAGTCACATCATCATGTCTTCATAAAATACTTTTTATTCATGGGAGAGAGAAAAAAAATATGACAATGTCATCTCTGTGAAAGCTCAAACATAATCTCTCGTGTCAAGTTCCGTCGCAAAATCCAACCATGCAATGATCGATTGGAATAATAATGTTTCCCGTTTGATGCGATCCGTCAACTTTTAATTGGTATTAAGATGGATTGACAAGAACAAAAACCATTACATATTGGCACAGCGTTTGTGTAATCTAACGGCAATTTGCTTCAAAGTATATGTTTTAGTTTTCATGTGAAATCATTGGAGACGGATTCCTTTGGCAGTTTTGGAGAACAATATGATTTGATGGCCTCTCTTCCATTAGAAATAGGAAAAAGAGAATGAGGCACTTCATATGAGTTGCAGCTGGTGTGAAGTTAGCATCATCTCCCCTTAACTTTATATAAATCTTTAAATTTAATTATTATTTTTAATTTTTTATCATATAAATTAATAATAGCCCACCCTTAAAATTTATACAAATATTTAGTTATAAATATTTTTTTTATTTTTTATATTATAAAGTTATAATTTAAAAGAAAATATATAAATTACAATCTCACCCCCTTAGAAAATTTTGCACTTTATGAAAAAAAAGTACAGAGTGAAGTTACTTTAGGTGGACTTCATCTAGGTGACATTAACAATTTGTATGTAACGCGGTAACTTTAGGTAGACTTCAATTATGCGTGTGGTCATCATTAACTAAAATTATATTAGGGGAGGCTTATGAGATTAGAACGAAATAATTGTTCCTCCTTCAACTTTAATGTAACAAAAAGAAAACAAAAAACAATTTGTGTACAAGATAACTAAGAAGACAATTAAGGTTAGTACTTTTAATCAATGAAGAATGGGGTCGGATGAAATTTAGTTGAATCGAGAATGTCATCTTTTTAGTTAAATTTAGTTGAAATTTAGTTCTATAAAACGGCAGTACGACCGGCAATGTTATATGGAGCGGAATGCTGGCCAGCACATAGGCAACATGAGCATAAGATGAGAGTAGCAGAGATGAGGATGTTAAGGTGGATGTGTGGGTACACAAGGATGGATAAGATAAGAAATGAAGATATTCGACGATAGGTCGGAATAGTACCGGTAGCCGAGAAGATGAGAGAACATAGATTGAGGTGGTTTGGGCACGTGATGAGAAGACCCATGGATGCTCCTGTAAGAACAGAAGTTTGTTACCAAGAGCTAAACACAAAAAGAGGCAGAGGTAGGCCAAAGCTTACTTGGGGGAAAGTAGTAAAACAAGATTTAATGGAGTGAGATATAGATTGACGGACAGTATGTCTTAGAAAGGAATGGAGAAAAGCTATAAGTATGGTGGAGGGTTAGACTCGCTGTTATTCCTATGTTCCAGATGGTCCTTTTTTAGTCCTTTTCCCCTTCATTTCCCCCACTTCTTCTTGTCCCTTTCTTTTTTACTTTTATTTATTTATATATACATATATCTTTATTTCATTTTATTATTTTATTTGTGTATTTTTATTTATTTATTTATTTTTTATTTTTTATTTTTTTTACTTTTTTTCAACCGTTTTGTATCTTTCATGTGGGTTCATCTACCACCGACCCCAATTAATTTGGGATAAATGTGTTGTTGATGTTGAGAATGTCATCTTTTGCATAGAAATGAACGAGGATGTCATTGTCAAATTAGGTAGACAATCAAGGTCATGGACTCTCAGCTTATCGATTTATTATTATTATGATAAAGACAGAATATATGGCTGTCATCAATTAGCACCTTCCTAGTTCCTACCAATATTATGATAAACACTTGGATCTCAATGAAAGTAGTAACAATTACCACTGACAATAATTTGAAGATACACTGTGATAAGTGACAACAATTGCACTGAAACAAGTATTAATTATTCTCTCTCTCTCTAATTAAGATCTTATACTTTTCGACATTAGGAGAACTGGATACTGAATATGCTGATGCATAACACACTTTTGCTGAAGTATAAAAATGTAAAACGGGAGATATATAGAGAATAAAAATCACTGAGATCCCTTGAGCTTCTTTGCAATGCCAGCAAAGTGCTTCCCTTGATGAAAAGCTTGAGCCAATTCTAACTCAGTAGGCTGTCTGGAGCCATCCCCAGCAAAGGTACCTGCACCATATGGGGAGCCACCCTTCACATTCTCCATCTCAAACATACCAGCACCAAATGTGTAACCAATGGGCACAAAAATCATTCCATGGTGAACAAGCTGAGTAATGGATGTCAACCTGCATTATTTTAAAATCAGAAAACAACTAATGATTAAGTTTGCTTAAACTTACGTTAGGTTGATATCCGATTATGACTGGGATACACCAATAAACACAATTGAGTGAGATTTGGTAACTCACGGGGTGGTCTCTTGTCCACCTCCTTGAGAACCAGTGCTGTAAAAGATTCCGGCGGGCTTTCCTGCTAGTGCCTGTGAACGCCACAGGCCTCCAGTTGCATCCATGAATGCTTTAAATTGAGCAGCCATCAGTCCAAATCTTGTGGGGAAACCAAGCAATAAACCATCAGCCTCCGGTAGCTCATTGGGGGTAATAATTGGTACATCACTCTTTGGAGGTGCTCCCATCTTCCCAAGGACCTCTTCAGGCAGTGTTTCAGGTACCTGTATGTATGGATAAGAATATTATAAATGCAGAATCAAAATTCCCAGTGTGTTTTGAATTATAAGTTCTAATCGATTATGGAGGGTATAACTTGGTTAAAGCATCTTAAAGATATACAATGGCTATTTGAACACTTTTGTGATTAGAAGCCAATCTTTTAAAGATTGATTCAAGACATACGTTAACTCCTATATACATGTGGAATAACTGAGCACAAGAGAGTGATTTTTCCATCCCATCCAAAGAAAAGAAAGAGGTATATAACTAGAAAAGACTTATCATTACAAACCTGCCATAGCTTTGCTTCTACTCCTTCCACGGAAGCTGCCCCCTTTTTAATCTCTTCAGCTAGCTTCTCAACATGTCCGTACATAGAATAGTAACTAAACATGAAATATAAATTTTAATCTAATCAGATTCATACCAGGTATAGACGGATGAACTCAGCAGTAAATGTTGAAATTTGGGTCAATTACACCATAGCTCAGTCAATACAACCCAAAATAAGGTGTGATTCACGTGTTCGGGAAAGATTACTATGCCTGCCACTAATACATCAACAGGGGATTATGGTGCCACTATGCTATCTCCAAGGAAAACTATAAGCATTTTAGTACCGGACAAGAAATGATGACATTGACAATACATTATCTACAGTAAGAAACTACTTAATTACGCTTCCTTCATTATCAGAAGAAATAATAGAAATGGTTGGGGCTAGAGAAACATTTTCAAATAATAAAGTTTTATCATAATTGCAAGCCAAGGAACAGTCATCAATAATGAAGAATACCAGGACCCCACTCTATCAAAAGTGCGTGGAGATTGCACTCTTGTTGTTAGAGAGGTATAATGGTTCTTTACATGGCCTACATGACTTCGGAGTCACAAGTTCGATCTTCACCGTCCCATTTTTTAGTGGAATTAACATTAAATCAGTATAAGGTGAAACAAATAAAAATAATAAATGGACTGCGCAATATCCACGTTTCAAGTCCAAAGGGCTTTTGCATGAAGAGGCGTATTAAAAAGATATAATATAGAATCGTTCTCTCGCCTTCACTTACCAGCTTGAGGTGTGAACCCCCTCCCTGGGTTTTCCTTCCCAAAAGGGGAAAAAAAATAATCATCAAAACTCTCTTTCCCTCAGTTGTTTAACCCCCCACCCTGTCCCAAAAGGGAGAAGATATTGAAGAAACGATCAATCAAACGAGAATCCGAAAACAGATCTGTATCTAAATTTCTCCTTAGGATCAACCACAAGAAGAACTGAACAGAACAATACATTAATCTGTTCTCATGCTCAAGCAGATTTAATTTATGGGTTATGTAATTCATGTGATCCTCTCTAACGGATTCTACATAGGTCCAACAGAAATAAATAATTCATTACAAAAGTTAAATGATGACAAACATCTAAATCCCCCAATTAACAACATGAAATTCTGAGAGCTGCTGTTTATCAACACAAAAACTTGATGGCTTCAAATACCCGAAAGGGAAACGATTAAGTAGAACTAACATGCACATAATCCACTAAAACTCACAGCCACAAAGACACCCGCTTTCCAATTCATCTTTATTCCACACTGAGAACAACACCCAATCGCCAAACTGGGAAGTGAAGCATATCACATAATAGGAAAGTAACCCAACAACCAGCGAATAACATAAACCGATCACCGGGATTGGGAGAGCAGAATCCTCCATCCATTTGTTTTAAATATGGAGAAAATGAAGCAAACCCAAAATTCAGAGACTCGGAAATTAACGAACTTTAATACAGAAAAGAAGTTAGGGGGGAAAAAACAAAGATGACCCAATGAAATTATAGAGCTGTTCAAAACTTAACAATCAAAGCATTTGATAGTCAAAAAAAAAGGAGAAAAAGAAAGAATGGCTTACACAATGTAAACTTTGGTGGTAGCCATTGATGGTGTCTGTTGCTCCGTCGTGCTCTCTCTCTCTCTCTCTCTCTCTACGGAAACGAAAACAAAGGTTTTAGTGGATGAGAACGGTGACAGGGTACCTCTGCTTATATAGCACCATGCCGGGTATCAAAAAGCACCACATGCCCATAAATTTTTTATTTTTTTATTTTGAGTAAAACATTTTTCTGAGTAAAACATCCTTTTAGAGCGCGTTTGTTTCAACTTTTTAAAAAGTAACTTTTATCTCTTTCTTAACTTAGAAGAATTTTTTATACTTTTATAAAAATATTTAATTTTTGAAAAAAATATTTGACTTTTGACTTTTGCTTTTTTAGAAGTTAAAATTTTTAGCTTCTGAAAAAAGTAAATTTTTGACTTTTTTTATGACTTATGCTTTTTTTAAAAAGCAGACATCCAAACGCACTAAAAATGATAAGTGCTTTTTTTAACGGAAAAAAGCAGCTTTTGGAGAAAAAAAGCTCATCTTTTGGAGAAGTCCTTTCGATTAATTAACGTGACTTTTTTTTAATTTAGGAGGATTATGTTTTCAACTAAATGAGTCTATTTTAAATTTTTTATGAACCTCGGGACTATTTTTTTTTAGGGACTAAAGTAGGGGATTGTGTTTTTTTTAAGGACTCATAATAGGCTTTACTCATATTTTTCCCTTCTTTTCTCTTTTCTTCGGTTATGTGTTTGTTCTTTTAAAAGAAATAAAATTGTGATATTTTAAATAAGATAAAAAAAATACAAAATTAAAAAATTGAGTGAGAAAATTAGTAACATTTTTTAAGAGTAAAGTATTCTGCGGTCAGTCATCGGACATAAGTGATCTCTAGTGACTCCAAAATCATATCATTTTTGTTATCAAAAAAAAAAAAAAAAAAAATCATATCATTTTGAATTAATAAAATGTGTTTCCGTAATTTTAGAAAAAATTAACGAAGAGTGTATTGAAAAAATTCATATGATAAAAAAATACCTTTCATTAAAAAATACCTTTCATTAATTTAAAACTACATAGTTTTAGAGGTCATTAAGATAACTTATCTCGAGATTGAAGAAATAGTTTATCCTTTATTTAATTTAAATTTGAAATAAAAAATATTAATTTTAACTAAAATATTATTTTTTAAGAGAACAAATTTTTTTGTTTAATTAATTGGTCTTTAATTTTCCTTTTTTAAAAATTATTTTTTATTTAATTAGAAAAATAAAAAACGTTAAACTATATAAAAAAAATTAACACTTTTTTTTTTGTATTAAAAAATTTAACAATTTAACGTTCCCAATTAAAGCTCAGATCCAACAACCCCCCAAAAAATATGTCAGATCAAGTCATTTGATCAAATTTTATCGTCTTTTTGACTTAATATTAAAAAAAAATTGATAAATTATAGATCCTTGAAAATAATTTCTCAATACTTGGTACTTGAACTTAGAGCTCGTTTGTTTCTTCTTCTAAAAAAAATAATTTTTATCTCTTTCTTATTTTAAAAGTCATTTTTACAAAAGTTAAAACAATTTATATTTTTATAAAAATATTTAGTTTTTGAAAAAGAATATTTGTCTTTTAATTTCTGCTTTTTTTAAAAGTTAAAATTTTTAGCTTCTGAAAAAAGTAAATTTTTGACTTTTTATGTGACTTCTGCTTTTTTTAAAAGCACACATCCAAATGAACTAAAACTGAAAAGTGTTTTTTTTTTCAAGAAAGAAAAAAACAACTTTTGAAAAGAAAAAAACCTTCCAAACTAGCCCTTAATAGGCCACTGAGATCAGGGCGCCACGTCCCAAATTACTTCATCGGGCACTTCTATTTCATTACTACACGTAAATATTAACTATACTCATTAATAATAATAATTAGTATTCAATAAATAATTCAAATCTTATTATTATAATTTAATATTAAATTTATTTAGATAAGTAATAATTGACGCTTTAACAATATTTATTGTTCTAATGAATCTTTTCAAAAAATTATGAATTTGAAAACATTAAATTTATTGTTGATAATAACAGTTTAGTAATTTTTATTTTATTTTATGCCCAAAAAGTTTAAATATTTTATATATTTTAAAAGTAGAGTGAGGCATAGTCTAAAATTACTCGAATACGATTACCAAAAAAAAAAAAATTACTCGAATACTACACTTATTTGTGAAATATTATAATTATTACATTAATATTTTAATTTTTTGATGTGATTAATCCAGATACCTTGCTATTCATGATTTTATTTTCAAAAGATTCAAAATGTGAAAAATCAGGAAAAGAAGAAACAAATTTTTTGACCACTTGAAATCCTGAGACATTATCAAATATTTGAATTTTTCGATGAATATAAAAAAAAATTGTCAAATTTTCATTATTGATAATAGACTTGACTTGTTTAAATTTGCGAGGAGTTTAAAAATTATGCTAGATGTAACAATTATTTAAAAATGTGTGATTAGTATTGTTGTTATTTTTATTGAGATTAAGTGATTTATCAGACAGTTTACATGCATCTCACCTAATTCACTTTCTCAATTAAAATGTTACACATCTTATGATTATAAGATCCACAAGAGTATATTCTTTATACCCTAACTTTAAGAAATTGAAATAATTAAAATTAAAGCATGTAGCTGGTTAGAGAGTGTAACACCCCATCGTATACCCAGTTCGTTAATATTATATATGATATTAAGCATAGTTATAATCACAGTAGTTGATTAAAACATGGTTAAATTTTTCTCTTTTGAAAACATGTTATTTTCTGATTAAATCACTTTTCGTATTTATAAAAAATTCAAACTATAATTATAACTCATACAAATTGCAGAAACATCTAATCTCGCTTAAACATATCATACCACCATGAAGTTCCCATAAATATCATGGCTTCACATGACAATGATGATAGTTAACCACACAAGGTGATAATTTTCTACAAACATCGCCCAAACAAAACGGAGAAAGCTCCGTTTGTTTTTCGGACATCTAGGGATAATTCCAAATGATATCTCAACCTGATAAATAGTTGAATAAATACTAACATCATGTCAGGATATCCAATAGGTGTACAAGCCCTTCCATTATAATTGTATCAAAATACATAAATGTCCATATACTACAAAAATGGGAACTTAACTAGTACAAAATATATGATCAAAGTTCTTTACATGCATCAACAACATGAAAGATATTCAATAACTATGATCATGAGCTAAGTCCCTCCTCCATGCATCAATAGTACATACTTGAAAATAAGACTACATAACATATGATGCTACAATCATCTAAAATAACATGTTGAAAACATGAATAATCCAAATGCATAAACAACAACAGCAGCATGCCTTGCTCGCTCAAGCGGGCATGACAGCGAGCCCAAGCAAGCAATGCTCTATTTTCGCTCAACTGCTCATTAGAGCGAGCACTGTAACACCCCGTGTATACCCGGTTTGTTAACATGTCATCGTATTAAGCCACGCTTAATAAAAAAATACGGAATATCTTTTTCTTTTCAATTATGACTTCATTATCATTACTAAGTTGAATTACTTAATTCATTTCCAAAACATTTCATGTATGTAATTGCAAAAAGGACAGCTATCTACTCTGAATAACATCATATATAATTAAGTGAGTATCTAAGTCACGGAACTACTACACGTAGTCCGGACAACATCCTGATACATTATTACAACTCGAATCTAAACTAAGACGTAGTCAATCAATGTGGCATGTACAATCCTCATGCTCACCAAATAAGGAAACAAGCCCAACATAGTCTCAATAGTAGCATCATAATCATAAAGCTAACAGCAAAATAGCAACAGACATAATCCAGCATCCAACATAATCAGCATACAGCATATAAATCAGCTAAGCTCCGGCCTCCTGCCGCTAGAGGTCTCAACCCCCGCATTACCTGAACCTTAAATATGTGCCCCAAACGTGGGATGAGATCTCTAAACAAAAGTCTAAGTAAGACAATGGGTCCTCAAGGATCTTCCACCCCAAGCTCACTTACATGTGCAATATAAGTTCAAAAAGCAGGTATATGATATAAGTTCCAAAGTCAGTGTAATGCAACATATAACCATGTCATGTGTGTCAAGATATTCTACTGGCCAGAGAAATGCAGGATATACGTCTATTTCCTACAATCAGTGCAAGACGCCACTTGCACCATCCCACAGAATCACCCTATTGTATGACGCCACATACTCAGTTTTCCGTCAAGATGGAACAACCCATGCATATTATAAGGCTCTTACACTTAACAGTTCAAAAGCATTCCAATCATCAAAGCATGAAAACACATCATGCATATAACCATTCCCCCATGGGGTATGGTGGAACCAACAATGGCTAAACCGAGGACACGAAAGCTTACCTTGCAAGCTAACTATCCAAGCCAAGAGTCCACACAAGCTCAAGGCCCACAAACAGCACAATCACGATCTGTTTAAACAGTAATTAATCATCAATAATCATTGCTCATGATTACATTAAGTGATTAAGGCTTTCCATCTCATTTTAAGTCATTACATGTTGTTTCTGCAGGAGGTATTTGAATACTCCTCGATGAGTATTCGAATACTCCAGCTTGCCAGAAAGTATTCGATTACTTTCACTCAAGTATTCGAATACCACAAGGTATTCGAATAACAACACCCTAAGTATCCGAATACCACAGTATCCAGATACCAAAACTCACTGTATTCGAATACTCTCCAGTATTCGAATACTTCTTCAAAGGTATCTGAATACTTTTCTTCCCAGAAAAGTATCTCAATACTCCTGCAAGGAGTATTCGATTACCAAGGGATAAGTATTCGAATACTTCTCCAACAGAATGCAGAAATTCGAACAGACTTCTGCATAATCCCACTTTTAAGGGTCCAAATGTGATTGGGAGTCCAATGACTCCCTAAACAGATATTCATTAACATGTTATGAACTCAGAAACACATTCCTTTACTCAAATGGTTAAAGTTTCTCTTTTTAAAAGATTAAACAAGTTAAAAACATCAAAATGACCAAGAGGTGATCATGAATACCTCCAAGGCTCCAAAACTCCGAAAATGAGACACA